GCTCGATGGCTCCGAAGACGAACCTGCGGAAGTACTCAAGGTAGTACGCGTAGAGCCCATGGCCGTACGCCTCGATCTCATCCAGAGTGCCCATGTTACTGACCCAAATGAAAAAAATATCTGCTCCACGGCCTCGAAGTCTTGGAGGCTCAGATACTCAACAGCAGGTTCACTTGAGCCTAAATGGACTTCGGACGATCTACCCTCTCCATCCCCCTTCACTGGACAATCCTTTACAAGGTGATCGGTACCATCGCGCTCATGGCACTTCAAGATCTGGCCCTACCTCGCGGGTTTCCCCGCCTACTCTTGCCTTTGCCTGAGGTTTCTCTACGGCCTTTTCCACGGCCTTTCTCCCCGAAGAATATCTCATCAGACTGATCATCTGAGAGCCTCTGGAGGAAAGCCGTGATGCCTCGTCCGTTCAACCTTCGGCGACCCGGTTTGCCTTTGCCTTTTCCTCTGAAGCTCCTCCGGATCCTCCTTCTAACACGACGCACTGGGTTTTCGCGTAAACCTCCTCCACCTACGCTTTGCTTGTTGTAATAACCAAAATAGATGCTCGGCACGCTGATTATCACCTTCCAGTTGCATGATATCTGACCAGTCTAGTGGTTCGATGCCATCGGATGATATCGTGTCGGTGTCGGTGCCTGAGTCGAAATCTTCGTTACCTAGGTAGGTGGCTACACCGTCGTTTAGGGGATTCGCTTCTCCCCACAGAGAGCGGTGAGGCTGAGGTTCTCTAGGAGGAGGGCTGGTTGCCCAGCTTGGTTGCGATCGACCCCCTGCTAGTAGGGCAATAGATTCTCCAGGATCGTCGGCCCATATGCTTGAAGGCCCGTTGCCAGGCTAAGCTTCAGTGGTTAAGGTAGTAAAGAAATTTCCACTGCCAGTTCCCCTTCCCCTTCCAAACACTGATCCTACGTTGCCAGGAGACCGTTCTGACAAATGGCCTATCGAGCGCATCCTCTCACACAGTTATTCATATTGTTGTTGTGTTCGGGGCATTTGATGGTCGAGTGGTTGTAAGAGTTGCATGGCTCGCTGGTTGCCAACGCCTAGGGCGCGGAGTGGGACGGTCGTAAGCAGTTGGAAGTTGGGAAGGTCAAAACCCACCGATTGTGCCTCAAGACGGGCCATTTCGAACCGAGTAAGGGTTACGTCGGTCCGTTCTCCGTGAGGCACATGAAAGTCGATGAGCTGAGTGCCTGAGGTGAGCTGACGCTCATCTCCCAGGCGTTCGAACTTCATGCTTAGGAGGAACATACTATATGTTACCGGGTCGGTGTGGACACCATCGATGCCCGCACCATACTTTATGATGTCAGGTGGTACCCTCATGGCGAGTGTCCTCGCGAGGCCGCCCAGGCCGCGTTGTATGGCGGCTGCTCGGGCTTGCGGCGTCATGCGTCCACTCGTGACGTTAAGCCAAGCGTCGACCTCGTAGACGTACTCGCGAAAAGGGCACGTTGCCTTGGGGGTCCCAGTATGGGCCATGCGTTTGCCCATCGGTGCTATTATCTCCTCGGCGCATGTGTCCGATTGCCGCCCCCAGCGCAAACCATAGAATGGCAAAGATAACCAACCCTAAGCTGTGGAGGTATGGGTGGTTATCGGGCGCGTTGCCGCGCTGGGGTAGGGCTTGTAGCGCCTTGTCAAGTCTACGAGGCGCTTTATATTGCGGGTCTCCCCGCCTGCGCTTCAAGTGCTGCGCTTTTGGCTCGTTGCCGAGCGGTTGGTGGTGGCGTAGTGATGAAGCGCATATGGTACCAACGTTGTTGTCTAGGCGTCGTACCTCTCGTGTTGCTTCTTGCTCTTGTATTGATCCTCGTAAATGTCGGTGGAGTGGTGGCGCAGGCTAGAGATTGGTCACGAGGATCGTGCCGGGTTGCGTGAGGATAAGAAGAGCAAGAGCTGACCACACGAGAGTGCGGCCAGCTCCGCTACCAAGTCTGAAATGACTCTGGTAGGTCATATTGCATCAAATTCCATGTCGAAGGAATACGATATGGGGTGTGGATGAGTAAGATAGGATAAGATCGATGTAATGATCTTTCCAGCACATAGCGAATACCAAGTCAGATATCCGGGCAAATAGGGCGCGCGTGCGTTGAGCCATAAGGCAGCGACGCGCAGGCTATACTCCCGTTTACATATAACATCTCCCAAAGAGCTACCCTTAAAGTGGCCTCCCTCGCGATGGAGCATCGGCTGCGTTCAGCTCGCTGGGGGCCCAGCGCGCATGGAAGCGGCCGCCGGTGAAAAGGCCCAGGGCGGCGAGCCCCCTGCGCGCGGGCAGGAGGCGGCGCGACCTCGCGCGGCCCTTGGCGACCGCGAGGGCTAGAGCCAGATTGTCCACGAGGGAAAGCGCGCGCTTGCGGCGACGAGCTCGAGCGCGAAGCAAGTGGCGAACCGCCATCGCGAGAGCCCGCCCCTCCATCCCCATGAACTCGCCCTCCTCGCGCCACTTCCCGCGCGTGCAAATCTCCCAGCTCGAAATAGCCACTGCCGAAGCCGGAACCTCGTCGAGCAGCCGACCCTCCCAGGGTTGAGCGTCGGTAGCCAGCCGAACAGCGGGTCGAGACCGAAGACCCTGAAGACCGAGCCCGAGAACGTCCGGACGAAGTGCGTGCTCACGTGCGCTCACCGCCTCCTCCACCCTGAACCCCCACCTCTCGTTGCACCTTCCCACTGGGGCCGCATCCTTGCGGCTCCACTGCGAACAGACCCCGAAGCCCTCAGTCGACGCATCACTGACGTGTGCCAGATCGCTCCAGGCCATGCGTGCGCTGTGAGATAGCAGAGGCAGCAAATCGCACATCAAACGCAGTTCACGAGCGACGGCAGGCCACAAGGGGACAACATTTTTGGCCTTGCTCTCGGCGAAACAGTAGCAAGAATCCACGATCGACAGCGCCTCTCTCCGAAGGGGACCAGCCCATGTAAAGTGCCCAATCAGCTTCCTGATCTCTTTTCCGCTGGCCCTACCTGTTCCCAAGACGAAGTCCAAAGCAAAGCGCAGCTTCCACATCCTCTTCGAACTGACCTGGATCACGCGCCTGTCCCCGTCGACAAAAAAAACAACCCACTGAACTCGGCGCGACTTTGGCCCTCGGAGACCTCGTGACACCCGAGCCCCATGTCCTCCAAGACGGCGCGAACCTCTGAGATGCGAGAGGTGGCTTCGGCGACATTTAGCGAGACAACGGCAAAGTTATCTACGTAGACGGCATCCCTGACAGACGTGCCATCAAAAACTTGCGGGGCCCCTTCGTCAGAGACTTCGCCAACGCAGCGCAGACCCATGCGCTTCATCCCAGCGGAGACAGCAACTTGACAGAAAAATTATCCTGGCGAAGGACCCAGCCATATGCAATTGTAAATAACGCTTTGTGGGTGCCGCTTTCGGTGGGGCTCCTTATGGGGCCACGAAAGGCGTGCCACGAAACGCTGTCCTGGGCGTGCGGGACGCATGAGGGCGGTAGCGCTGGGGCCTTCGGTGGAGCTCCCTATGGGGCCACGAAACGTGCGAGGGGTGTGCCGACATGGGTGCGGCGCCGCCATGCGAACGCAGCCACTGGGGCCTTCGGTGGAACTCCCTATGGGGCCACGAAGCGTGTGAGGGGTGTGCCGAAATGGGTGCGGCGCCGCCATGCGGACGCAGCCACTGGGGCCTTCGGTGGAGCTCCCTATGGGGCCACGAAGCGTGTGAGGGGTGTGCCTAAATGGGTGCGGCGCCGCCATGTGGACGCGGCCGCTGGAGCCTTCGGTGGAGCTCCCTATGGGGCCGCGAAGCGTGCGATGGGGTGTGCCGAAATGGGTACGGCGCCGCCATGCGGACGCAGCCACTGGGGCCTTCGGCGGAGCTCCCTCGGTGGAGCTCCCTATGGGGCCACGAAACGTGTGAGGGGTGTGCCGAAATGGGTGCGGCGCCGCCATGTGGACGCGGCCACTGGGACCTTCGGTGGAGCTCCCTATGGGGCCACGAAATGTGTGAGGGGTGTGCCGAAATGAGCGCGGCGCCGCCATGCGAACGCAGCCGCTGGGGCCTTCGGTGGAGCTCCCTATGGGGCCACGAAACGTGTGAGGGGTGTGCCGAAATGGGTGCGGCGCCGCCATGTGGACGCGGCCGCTGGGCCTTCGGTGGAGCTCCCAATGGGCCCCCGAAACGTGTGAGGGGTGTGCCGAAATGAGCGCGGCGCCGCCATGCGAACGCAGCCACTGGGGCCTTCGGTGGAGCTCCCTATGGGGCCACGATATGTGTGAGGGGTGTGCCTAAATGGGTGCGGCGCCGCCATGCGAACGCAGCCGCTGGGGCCTTCGGTGGCGCCCCCTATGGGGCCACGAAACGTGTGAGGGGTGTGCAGAAATGGCGCGGCGCCGCCATGCGAACGCAGCCACTGGGGCCTTCGGTGGAGCTCCCTATGGGGCCACGAAGCGTGTGAGGGGTGTGCCGATGTGAGCTGCCACGGTGCCGCCATGCGAACGCAGCCACTGGGGCCTTCGGTGGAGCTCCCTATGGGGCCACGAAGCGTGTGAGGGGTGTGCCGAAATGGGTGCGGTGCCGCCATGCGGGCGCAGCCACTGGGGCCCTCGGTGGAAATCCCGATGGGGCCACGAAGCGTGTGAGGGGTGTGCCGAAATGGGTGCGGCGCCGCCATGCGGACGCAGCCACTGGGGCCCTCGGTGGAGCTCCCTATGGGGCCACGAAACGTGTGAGGGGTGTGCCTAAATGGGTGCGGCGCCGCCATGCGGACGCAGCCACTGGGGCCCTCGGTGGAGCTCCCTATGGGGCCACGAAACGTGTGAGGGGTGTGCCGAAATGGGTGCGGCGCCGCCATGCGGACGCAGCCACTGGGGCCCTTGGTGGAGCTCCCTATGGGGCCACGAAACGTGTGAGGGGTGTGCCGAAATGGGTGCGGTGCCGCCATGCGGACGCAGCCATTGGGGCCTTCGGTGGCGCCCCCTATGGGGCCACGAACGTGTGAGGGGTGGGAGGAGGGAGGAGGGAGGAGGCGGAGGAGGAGGAAGGAAGGAAGGAGAGGAGACGCGGGGCACCGTCTCTTCAAAACGAGAACTCAACACCACAGGATGGTTCGGAATAGCGCCCAAGACCAGCCCATGGGAAGGACGAGGAGATGCGGCGAACTGGAAGGACCTAGACGCACCCGCTCCTCGCTCGAAAGGCCCGGGATGGAAGAGGTCTTGATCCGGGGCAGAACATAAAGCTCGCTCATCCCAGAGGCAAGGCCAATGCGATAGAAAGCAGCCTGCACATCGCACTGGGCCACCAGAAGAGGCCCCTCGTCCTCCACCTCGACGCGACCCCGCGATCCACTCGTAGGGGGCGCAGTCTTGACAGGGGGGCGGAAGAGATCATTAGCAGCACGAGTGCCAAAAATCAGTCTGAGAGAGCGATCCGTCTTGCTCACGCAGAATATCCCAACGGGCGCAGGGCGGGCGCTCGAGAAGCCGACGATGCCCCTCGCATGCAGGTCACCCAAGAACTCGCCGTGCACCACTGGGCGCTTCACAAGCGCTGGATCCGAGTAGACGGAGGAGACGCGATCTCCAGTCCGACCACATCTTGAGCTCCCGGCCGTCGAGCACGTTGGAGAACTCCACGGGCTTAGAAGAGACCGGAGGCAGCGAGACGGCCCCCGCGCGGTACGGACATGGAAGGCCCGCGGCATCGGCCTCGAAGGCGTAGCCGGCGCGGGCGCCGCAGAGCTCCCGGGAGGCTCCCGCGGCATCACCGAGCCCAGCGCGCGGCGGGCCGACGGCCCGGCAGGCGTCCTTCAGCTCCTCAAGGCACGACAGCTGGCCGGCCGAGAGAGGCGTCGAGTCGTCATCGCCAGCAGGGACAGGATGACCAAAAAGTTCGTTGAGTGCAATGACGCCTCGATTGCACCAAGCCTGCCAATGCTGCCGCGCTGCAGCCCTCCTTCTGACCGAGCGGCAACCAGCAGCAACCTCAGGCCCCTTCGCGAGGGGAAAAGGCGGCGGACAGGGGAGTAGCTCCCGCGGCGGCCCGCCGGCGGGCCCGTCGCCCATCTTGAAGAGGGCGAAGGACGGTGGCCAGCTAAGGCGGCAGGATGGCCAGTACCTGCCGCCGGTCCCGATGGACAAAACCTTTTCGCCCTTGAGAGCATTGCGCTCTTCAAGGGATTTGCGGCGTTCCTTCATGGCCTGGTAATCGTTCGAGAGCTCGCGGCCAGAGCGCAGCGCCCGCTGGGCGCGGCTGACGACCGCCTTGGCCTTCTCTAGGACGCCCGTGCCGTCGGCGCCGCCGATGCCCGCAGTAGCGGGAGCGGCCGAGTGGACCTCGTCGTACACCTCGAAGTCGGGCGTAGCGGCCACCCAGTGTCCCGCTGAGCGGATCACCGGCTGGGACAGCAGCCGCTCGTGGTAGCAATCGTCGCCATGGTGGAGCACCGGCAGCCTCGAGCCCTCCACGAGCCCCTCCAGCGTCGGTCGCGCCCGCATGGCGACGGCGCTCCTGCGCGGCGCGACGCTCGGCGACCAGCACTTCCGCTCCCCCGCCTCCGCCCGCCTTCACCTCGAGCAGGCCCTCGGCGGAAACCCCGTGGCGGGAGGCGGCGGGCCCCAGGGCCCAGCGCGACACGCGGTCCGCCAGCAGCCCCACCAGGATACCAGCGGCGAAAGCCGACGCTGCCGGCACCCCGAGCGAGCGGCCGCCGCAGGGCAGTCCACGGGCTCCACGGGCACCCCCGCGGCGCAGGTCAGGGAGCCGCAGGCCACGTCGGGGCAGTGGGGCGAAGGGCACGGAGGGCAAGATTGCAAGGCGGAGCTAAGGTGGAGTGAGATAAGGGACAGCTCTCGGGAGACGCCTCCGATCTGGACAAGATCCAAAGAGACTTGAGCACAGAAGGCATCAGACACGGATGCAACTCAACCGTCTGAAACGATGGCGGAGACCCTCACGCTCACTCAGGATGCCCGTTCTCAGAACTTCTATCATCATCCTCATCATCATCATCATCATCAGCAGCAGCATCATCATCAGCATCACCATCATCATCATTGAACTCCTGCTACTCCTCCTACTCTTCATAATCGTCATTGTATGGTCCTCCTCCTTGGGTCTACCCGCCGTCAGCTCGCGTCCAGGACCCCCCCTGGCCTAATTAGGCGACAGCAAGCGAGAAGGCAAGCAAGGGCCAAGACGCACACGAGGGCGATGGACGAGGTTGTCTCCAGCCGCTCGGCACAGCGGGGCTGCTCTCGCCATGGGCTGCCCCCTACAACAAAACGTACCCAACGACCCGCGAGATCGAAACGTCCCACCGCATAGCTGGACCGGAAGGTTCAGGAAGCTCCAGGCAAACGGTGCCCTCGGCCATCTGCCCCAGGGAGGCGTGGAACAGATCCGAAACATACATCATGTGATGCACAGGGGCTCTTCCAAACAGCAGGACCAGCAGCGGAGGGCACCGATTTCGTGGGTCACCCTAGGCCTATAGTGCCTCAGTGGGCAGGGCGCCAGGAACCTAGCCCAGCGGGAAGGCTGAATGGGAAAACAGCGATACGGAGATGGCATCCATTACAAGACAGGCACAAGCCACAAGCCACATCCTCATTCCTGCCCGTGCGCGATAGCGTCGGCTGGCGCAGCCCGGTTCGACAGCTGCAGCCGACACCAAAATGAAATTTAAACAACGAGTTAGCTGACACTCTATGGCCATGGTCCTCTAAGCTGCATCGGTCTTGGCCATGTGCTTAATCAGGTCCACGACGCGGCACGAATAGCCCCACTCATTGTCATACCAAGCGACCAGCTTCACAAATGTGGGGTCCAGCATAATGCCCGCCTTGGAGTCGAACGTGCTGGAAATCGGGCACGTCTCAAAGTCGGTGGACACGAGGGCGTCGTCGCAGTAGCCAAGGAATCCCTTCATGTCACCCAATGAACGCCTCTTGATCTCGGCGCAGATCTCCTCGTACGTCGTCGCCTTCTCCAATTCACATGTGAGGTCCACTACTGACACATCGATAGTGGGCACACGGAAAGCCATACCAGTGAGCTTGCCCGCCACCTCGGGCACGACCTTGGCCACGGCCTTGGCCGCACCTGTCGAGGAGGGGATGATGTTGCCAGACGCCGCCCGGCCCCCACGCCAATCCTTCTTCGACGCCCCGTCAACGGTAGGCTGGGACGCAGTCATGGCGTGAATCGTGGTCATCAGTCCGCGCTTAATGCCGAAAGCGTCGTTCACAGCCTTGACCATAGGAGCCAAACCGTTGGTAGTGCACGAAGCGCAAGAGACGCAATTCATGTCGCTCTTGTAGGTGTCCTGGTTCACGCCCATCACTATGGTGTGGCTGTCGTCCTTGGCTGGGGCCGAGAACACGACCTTCTTAGCGCCGGCCTTCAGGTGTGGCTGGATCTTCTCGTCGGTCAAGAATACGCCAGTGGACTCGCAAACATAGTCCGCACCATACTTCTTGAAAGGGATCTCGGCCGGATCACGGGTGTGCGACAGCGCGACCTTGTGGCCATCGATCACGAGTGAGTCTCCATCGACCTCAACGGTGCCGTCGTACCTGCCATGGATCGAATCGTACTTCATCTGGTACGCAAGATCCGCCTGCGCGCGCGCTGCACGAACCCAGGCAGATGCCTAGGCAGACCCCGGAGGGCCACCCCCCACCGGGGTGGGGATAAGAATATGGTCAACTTTCTCCGTGAGGTTGCAGAGAGAGGCTGCTGAGAGTACAGTATCAAACAGAAATTGAGCGTGAGGCTGCGGCAGCAGGCGCCGAAGGCGCCTCCTGGCCAATCCTCCAACGCACTAGCGCACATCCGAAGATGGTGCGGACCCCGAAGGGTCACCCCCCACCGTAGTGGGGAGAAGGATATGGAAACTCTCTTTCCGTGAGGTTGCAGGGAGACTCAGTAGTTCAGTACAGTAGCAGGTCGAACTTGAGCGAGAAGCTGCGGCAGCAGGCGCAGAAGGCGCCTCATGTCCCATCCACCTACAGATCCGCCTCTGCATCGCACTAGCACGCATCCGAAGATGGTGCAAACCCCGAGGGGCCAACCCCCACCGGAGTGGGGAGAAGAATATAGAAAGCTCGCTCCGTGAGGTTGCAGAGAGACTGAGTACTACAGTATAGTATCATGTGGAAATTGAGCGTGAGGCTGCGGCAGCAGGCGCCGAAGGGCAGCAGCGCACAAGCCCAAGCAAAGGCCCAGGCAGATCCCGACGGACCATCACCCCCGGAGGGGCGAAGCCTGTGGTAGCTGTTGTCCCGGACAGGAATGCACTGAAAGTGTTGCCTGCCTGGGTCATCCTCGAGGACATGGCTCAAGCTTGGCTACGTGCTGCTCGACGGTCGCGGTATCTCTGGTGGGGCTCCAGGAGGAGGAGCTGCTGAGTTGGACTGCGAATTGGGAGCGCCCCGACGCTCTCTCAACACATGTCGCCTGACCGTAGGCACTGAGTGGAATGTCCTCTAGTGCCTTCGATCTGCGTTGAATAAGACTTGCAAGTGCTCTAGGGGGCCCAGGGTTTCAAGAGTGCCCAAGAGCTGACAAGAGCGCCCAGGAGCGCCATTGAATCTGGGCGCTACTGGGGCGGCTCGCGTGACTGTTTCAAAGGCCTCGGGATCGTGGCTGGGAGTTTATACTTCCAACAAGGCCGAAGATGGTCTCAGGGCCCGTCCTGGAATTCTCTTGGACGCCAAAATCATGTTCAACAAGTGTTTGTTGCACCACTTTGGCATAATATGATCTCTGGCCTAAGCGGCACCCAATACGGCCCAAGATGTCCCCAAGATCCCCGAGGTTCCCGAGAGGGCCCCAGAGGCTCCGAGACGGCCGCGCGAGGGGCCCAAGAGGGTGAACTTGAATTGACATCTTGAGCACCTTCCCCCATGATGGCCTGTGAGACCGCCGAGAGGCCCCAACAGGCCTCCAAGAGGCATCCAGAGTCTCCTCCGACCCCCCACTCGAGAGGCCCAAAGAGACCTCCTAAATGCCCGCAAGAGACCCCCCAGAGGATTCCAACGCGCCTCCCAAGAATCCTCCCAAGAGACCCCAAGAGGCCTCTGGGAGGCCCCTCGTCCTTAAACCAGGAGGGTGGCGGGATGGGCCGAAGGCCACCAGATACTCCGCGTCGTAGCTCGCGTTCACCAACCTGAGCTCCGTCTCTGGATCCTTCATGACGATGCGGGCCACCTGGCGTCCGATGCGCCCGAAGCCGTTGATGCCGATGCCGACGGTCGGCCTGGCCACTTTCTTCGCCGTGTGCCCGCCGTCGCCCGGTGCCGGTTCGTGCTTGCCCAGGGCGGCGGCGCTGGCCGTGCCAAGCTCCTCGAGGTACAGCGCGCCCATGTCGTCGAGGGGCATCTTGCCGCCCGTGCCCTCGCAGAGCTTGAAGAGGGGAGCCTGCAGCGCCCAGCTCCAGGAGAAGCTCAGGTTCCAGGGCTCCTTCGTCTTCATCTTGTTCATGGCGTCCAGGCGTGCGGCCGCGTCCTCGAGGCTCTGGCCTCCGCTAAGGTAGTTCACCCCGGGAACCGCCATCGGCATCACCCTGCGGAGCACCGTCAGGTTGGCGTCCGCGATCTCCTCGACGGTGTAGGACTCGGGGCAGTCCAGGCCCGGGTTGACGAGGTTCGTCTTCATGACGCAACCCTCCATGAAGACGCCGTGGTCCAGCATGGCCTTGTAGAGAGCGGACTGCACCTGAGTGTTCACTTCGACCGCGGTCTTGAGTGTATGCGTGCCCTTCATCACGATGTCGGGCTCCACGATGGGCACGAGCCCCTCGTCTTGGCAGATCAGGGCGTACCTGGCGAGGTCCTCCATGTTGGCCTTGATCGCCAGGTCCGTCGGGCACCCGTCCTCTGTGATCGCCAGCGGGCTCCTCCATTTCGCGAATTTGCAGCCCGCCGCCTTGTACTCCGCGCAGCGGGCGGACAGCGAGTCGAGGCCCTGCATGACGGTGTCGCCGCCGGTACCGGGGAGCGTGTACACCTTTAGGTGCGGCTTGATACCCGGGACGATCCCTAGGTTGGAGAGCACCTCGGGGAACAGCTTACCGTCGTCGTCCTTCTGGTAAATGGTCTCCGGGTCCAGGATCGCCGCGCTCAGGTACTGGTTGATCCCCGGCGTCTTGTACAGCATCTGCCTGTACTGGCGCCTGTTCTCCTCCGTGTTCTCCACGCCCACCGCCTCGAAGCGGATGCCGATGGTGCCGGGGCCCTCGTCCGTGGCGGTGATGCCCTTGCCGGGCGTGCAGATCTGCTGCACGACCCCCACGAGCTCGGCCTTCCGCTCCTCGGAGAGGTGCTCCCCGCCGTGGCAGGGGCGCCGCACCGCCCGCACGGCCACCGTGCGCGCCTTCCTCCGCCTCTGCTTCAGCGCCCCGCGGCCGCCCGCGACGGCCAGCGCGCAGACCAGGGCGCCACCGGTGGCGCTCCCGCGCCCGGCGGGAGCGGCTGCGTCCTGGGCGCGCAGGGCGGCCCCGCCGGCCGCCGCGGCGGGCGTGGCCTGCAGTCCGCTGGCCTGCGCGCGGCCAGCGGGGCCTGCGGGCGCCGCGACGAAGGCCTGGGCGGCCGCCATCTTTGCCCGCGGCGGTGACGGGCGCGGGGCGCGGACCCAGGCCTCTGGCGTCCCGAGGAGGAGCCAAGGTCGAGTGTTGCTAGAAGTGCCCCTGGTTTAAGGTGCTCCCAAGATCTCCGAGGAGGCCCCCACGGCCTTCAGAGCACCCCTCTCGAGGCCCAGGGGTCCCTGGAGGCCCTAGACTGGAGCGAAACGCTGGGGGTTACCTCGGGCCAGGGGCACCTTCAGCAACCCCCCACACGGGTATGGTTTCACAGGTTTACGGCTTCCCGCTCTGAGGGCCGAAGAGCAGTGCACCGTGCAATTCCTGGGTCGAGGATTGACGACGCCGCGGGAGCCGCCTCGCAGTACGGTGCATGCAGGTCGTCCGCGGAGTGGGGGCAGAAGTCTGGTGAGCCTGGGCACCTGGAGGCACGCTTCGGGCCCAGGGGCCATCAAGAGGAATTCGGCCCGAGGCGGGAGGAAGTGGCTCAGGAGTTGGGGTCGGAAGCCCTGGTACTGGCGCCATGGAAAAGTCACTCGACACGTAGGAGGTCTGAGGATTCGTAGGGAGAGGGGAATCCAGACCAGCGCCACCCAGCCTCCATCGGTCCATTCTAGGGCGCAGATCTTGGAGGGTGTGGCCTCCCTCGGGGCACGGCTGGAGCCGATATCCAACAAGATACGGGCCGCAGATCAGGCCTGCGGAGGCTCTGGTGGTGCTGGCCGACTTCCTCTCTCACGATACTTGGGTGGCTCTGGCGCCTTCTTCGCGCTCGGCTTAAACCCAAAAGGTCTGCGGCGTGCTGGCTGGAGAGGGCACCGCAGGTTCGGTGGGACAGAGGTGCAACTCTATCCAGCTCGGCTTGAAGCAACAAGGCGCGCGGCGCGACAGCTGGATATTGGCGGCACGGACAAGCGGGTGTGGGGAGGGGGGAGGCTTCTTAGAAGGAGGCTGCTTCTTAGAAGTCGCCGGCCCTACATCTACAGATAAGGCCCGCGCTTTCTACGAAGCAGAGCGGCTTCTAAGAAGCCCTCCCCCCTCTCCCCAACCCCCTCTGCCCGTGGCTGAGCAAATCTCTCCAGCTCGGCCTCAAGCAATAAGGCGCTAAGGCGCGGGGCGACAGCTAGATAGGGCATCACTCTTTCGGGTGGCCTCTGTTCAGGCTCTGTTCTACTCCTCCTGCCCCGCCTCTTCCCGGGGCCCTGCTCATACTCCCCTTCCCCTCCCCCTCCCCCTCCTCGTCATTGTCGTCTGATCTCATACTCCCCATCCCCCTTCGCCTCCCTCCCGACCCCCTCCCTCTCCCCCCTCCCCCTCCTCATCCGCCTCCTCTTCACCGTCACTCCTAGGGGCGGCAACAACGACGACAGCGACGGCGGTGAAGGCAACAACGCCGACAAAGACAGCCAAGATGACGACGACGACGACGACGACGACGACGGCGACGGCGCTGACGGTGACGACTATGGTGACGATGACGACCACCTCTGAAAGCTCGACGACTCCACACCCACGAGAGCGCGGGGCGGATGCGGCCTCCGCCCGCTTCCGGTAGCCGGCGCCAGCGCCGCGGATGCAGGCGTCCTCGCTGCAGTTGTCGCACGTGCCCTGAGGTCACGGCTGGGCCAGGGTCGGCCACCCCGTCCGCACGCCGCTCATGCCGCTCATGCCGCAGCCCTCGCGCGCGTCTCCTCATCGTCTCTCGCCACCTCCCGCTCCTCTGCAGCATGTCCTGGCCAGCTGGCCGCACAGCGAGCACAAGCAGCCCAGCCAGCTGGCCAGCCAGGCCAACCAGCCAGCCGGCCTGAACCCTTTATGCTTTATGCCTGCCTCCATCGCCACAGCCGCGTCACACAGCCGACAGCCGCATGTGTCTGAGAGCCGCGCCTCTCTCCCCGCGGCCAACGGGTGAAGGGGGGGAGGGGGGGAGGGGCACGTTGCTGTTCCTCGATGCGGGAATGGGCCTCTCGTGCATGGACGAGTGGGACAGAAGGGTTCCGAATCTGCATCTTTTCTCCCCGTCTCGCCTCCGCCACAGGCGTCGGGGAACGGACGCCCGCGAGCAGATGCTCGGACAGACGGGCCCGAGGCCCGCAGCTGCTGGAGCCCTGCCCTGGATCCCTGCTGGCGGTTTGGGAGGTCATGCTGAGGCGGGGGGCTCGACATGTTACAGTTCGAGTTCCCCCCTCTTCAGGCCATCTTGAGGCCGTCTGGGGCCGTCTTGGGGGCCTCTTGGGCCGTCTTGGAGCGTCGGAAGCCAGAAACGGCGCGAACGCTAAAATCATGCAAAAAGCAAAAAACGATAATCAATGATCTGACCCTCTCGGGGGGGCCTCTTGGAGCCCTCATGGGCCGTTTTGGGGCCCTGTTCGGCCGTCCGGAAGCCATGGTTGTGACCTGTGGGACCGTCTGGAAGCGTCTCGGGCCATCTTGGACCGTCTTGGGACCCTCTTGGACACCAGGAGCGCCCAAGGAGCGCCCCAGAAGCATCGCAGGAACACCGCAAGAATACCAAAGAAACATCGCAGGAGCATCGCCGTGTTAGCGCAGTGTGTGTTCCGCCGTGCTTTTTGCGCTGTCTGTGTTTCACCCCCGGGGATGCTTACTTTATTGTTTTGCGTAGTGCTTGTTGTACTTCGTGTTTGTTCACGCAGTCGTATTTTCCAAGCTAAAATCTACCTATCTATATTCCGCAAGCAGCGCTTGCACGTGGTCCTGGCAGAGATCGAAAGACTTGCTGAACATTCCCGGACGATTTCGGTAGGCGGCCGGGTTCCCTGGTTCCCGGTTCCGGGTTCCCCAGCCCGTTTGCAGGTTCTGGGCCGATTTCGGTGGGCGGCGGGGTTCCCTGGGCTCCAGTTTTGGGGTTCCGGGTTCCAGGGTTCCCAGTCGATCTCACTACCGATTCCACAACCGGTCCCACCAATCAAACTCACGATCGATCTTACGAGCGACCTCACTCTCGATCTCACGATCGATCTCGCAATTGATCCCACTGTCGATCACACTATTGACATCACCGTCGATTTCACCTTCGATCTCACGATCGATCTCACGATCGCACTAACAATAGCTCGCAGTATCGGACTCACTATGATGTCACTCAATCGTTACCACTACCGATGTAGCTCAATCGATATCCCTATCGATCTCAATGTCGATTTCGCCACAATTTTCATCACCGACGCGAGGGCGCCATCATCGACGTCGACGCGATCAGCATCGGCGTTGTCACTGGCATTGCCGCTGTCTTTGTCATCGGCGTCACCAGCATCACTACCATCATCATAGCGTCTACTGCTGGCGACGTTGCCATGATACCGCGGTCGCCAAATCGCCGGCTCGCACTGCACTGAAGTGCCCGCTGGAAAGTGCCCAGCGGCCAGCGCCACCGCAGCCGCGTCAGTCGCGCCAAACGACCTGGCCACTGCGCCCGCGAGCACGCGCGGGCCAGCGCGGCCGCAGAGATGCACCAGCAACCTTCAAGCAACCATCGGGTTCTGCAAACCAAATTGCGGGTGGGTGGGTGGGATGATTGCGCGAGCAACGGAATGGGCAACACTCTGCGAACTGAAACTTTTTTCGCCACATAGCTTCAACCACATATATCACACCCCACAAAGCGGGCCACATACATTGTACCACGTACCTCCCACCAAATTGCTCATACCACATGGAAGACCACGTCTGCTCCACATAGATTGCACGATATTCTTACACCACATGTATTTCACCGCAGCATTTGCACAACTCGGATTGCACACCATCGAAGTACTCTTTTCCAAACGAATAATAAGATTATCCCCCCTTCCTCCCCGGAATTAACGGCCCCCTTTATTCGCATCGCAAGTTACATATGATTCTGCCACATCGTTAACGCGAGATCTGAACTCATATCGTCCCAGCCAAACCGGACCCCCCCTCATCCAATGCAGCAAAAAAAAGTGCGCGCACCAGTTACCGAAGAAAAATATCCTGCTTTCAGACAGCACTTCCAAAAATGTGAACGAATTGCACGCGCGTGCGTCGTCGCGTGCGCGTGCCGGAATCCGACACAAACCGTAGGCTTCGCGAAGATGTCAACATCGAACGCCGCGAAAACACATTAGAACCAACAAATCTCCGACAACAATTCTCCAGACAGAAGATTCTGCGCTCGCGCGCAGACTAATTCTTAAAAAACATACGCGTTTCAATTTTTGTCAAATAAGATGTTGCCAAACAGACCTCTCGCGCGCGGCGAAATCACTCGAACACCATCGCGGGCGCACCGTCGCAAGAACCGTGCACAAAAAGAAAAACGAAGCGCACGAGCGCGCAATATCGTGCGCGCGTGCCGAAATCCTTCACAGACCTCAAGCTTCGCAGTGATGTCACAATCGAATGCCCAAATGGCCCCCAATACTGTTCATGCCATTTTCATGTTTGAACAAACACGCAACTGTTTTGCACCATCCGTCTTTTACCAAAAATTGCGCTCGCGCTCGTGCGGAACCATGGCAATACATATATATATATATATATATATATAGATAGATAGATAGATATATATATATATGTATAACCGTCGGTTATCATAATGTTCACCCGAGTCGGCCAAACGGGCACCCCGCGCCGCATGCCCGAATCAGTCAAGCGCCCTCGCGCGCGTGCTGGGGGGGGGGGGGGGCGCGACCCGCATGTATGTGGAAAAAAGGGGCGGGCCATTCTCGCGCGCCGGCCGCGCGCGCACGTCGAACTCCTCATGCCTTCATCACCGACGCGAGGACGCCGTCATCGTCGCCGGCGCAACCAACATCGGCGCCGTCACTGGCCTCGCCGTCGTCGCCGTTCTCACCGTCGTCACCAGCATCGACACTTTTACACTGGCGCCTCTTAAAGTTAGCCAGCTTTGTTTGAAAGCACGTGGGAACCTTGAAAGTGGGGGCAGGCGGAGCTGGAGCGACAACCCTACTGAACACCAACGGCCTGCCATGCAGAAACACGAATATCCAACGCAGCAGCAGAAGGCACAGAAGCAAGTGCTGCCAGCGAGCCTAGAGGGGGAGGTCCCCCCGAGAGATGTTCAAGAGGCGAGCCCGAGCCACCTTGGGCCCAAGTCCAGAGCGGTGCCTGACCTGGCCTCAGGCCTATCAGGGCCCGCGATAAAACTCGGAAGCGCATCAGTCCCTGGGATTTAGACCCCAGGGTGGGAGCGGTGGGGCCGAAACTGCAGCCAAACAATAGTAATGACATGCAACAATGGATGCAATGAAGGCGGCTAGATACATTGACGATGCTACTGTAAAAGTGTGTTTGTAAAACGCGTATTTACATTGACGCCTCTTAAAGTTAGCCAGCTTTGTTTGAGAGCACGTGGGGACCTTGAAAGTGGGGGCAGGCGGAGCTGGAGCGACAACCCTACTGAACACCAACGGCCTGCCATGCAGAAACACGAATATCCAACACAGCAGCAGAAGGCACAGAAGCAAGTGCCGCCAGCGAGCCTAGAGGGGGAGGTCCCCCCGAAAGGTGTTCAAGAGGCGAGCCCGAGCCACCTTGGGCCCAAGTCCAGAGCGGTGCCTGACCTGGCCTCAGGCCTATCAGGGCCCGCGATAAAACTCGGAAACGCATCAGTCCCAACCCCGTCAAATCGAGACTGGCATACATGCCTAAACACCAGCCTTCAGCAGATAAGGGAGGGAGGGAAGGGTTCTTATCTATGTTGTGCTCCAGCCCCCCTGTTTTATGTAAGACCCCCGGTCCAAATCTTGCTCTATCTTCTGTTCAGGAATACAGGTGAGGACAGGGGGCGCGTCGACACGCCTCCAGGCACGCTCCAGCTATATCAAACGATAATCATAATTATCACTAGCCGCGAGCCACTCTCGTCTTGCGGCTGTGACGGGCTCGGGGTGCTGCACTCGGGCGGCCCGTCGTCAGCACCCGCCCGCCATCAAAACAGGGGATCTCCACATGCGTCCCCTGCACCCCCGCCAGCTCCTCCAGCAACTGCTTTGCCAGGGGAGTCTGAGCGGCGGGGGACTCTACGATGAAAGTCATCAGTGCCTCGGCCGGCCTCGCCCAAAAACTGGCGCCCGTCTTCACCTGCTCCTCTGACATCTTCGCGAGCTGGCTGACGAGCATATGCGTCTTCGTGTAGCGTGCCAAGGCCGACGTGGTCTGCCACCTGCCCTTGCGCCTCGCCGCCTCTAGGCAGCCGCCGCCCGCCACGAACGTGGCCGCCCCTGAGTGCCGAATGGCGTGGGGGGGCCCCATGCCGGCGAGGCCCTCGTCCTTGAGCGCCTTGTGCCACTCGCGCCTGAACCTGTCCTGCGAGACGGGGAAGACGAGGTCCCTGCGGGCGCAGCTCCGCAGCAGGGCCCGCACCACGGCCGCGGTCACCGGCCACGAGAGTACGACGCCCCGGTTGGCGCCCGTCTTGACCTTCTCGCCCCTCTCACGCCTGCCGAGGGTGAAGGCCAGCTGCCCCCCTGGCCCCTCGGAGACGTCCTCGCCCCTGAGCTGGCCCCAGTCTTGCTCCCTGAGCCAGCCGTCCAGTTGCGTGAGCACCGCTGCGCCCTCGATGAGCCTCCCCGTGCGGAACATCCTGCTGATGACCAGCCCGA